TATTATCTCGCTATTTCATTCAACGACTACTTATTAACTTTGGCAAATATGACCAGCAATTAATCGAATTAAAAATAGCTCATAATATAGTAGGACAAATGGAAATGAATAGAATAAATCAGAAAGTTAAAGTTCCGTGGTCTAGCAATTTACAGATTCCCGTTTTTACGTATTTAATGACTGAAGCACAGCACCAATTAGAAACCAACAACCTTTGCGCAAAGGGTAATGATATGGAACTTTTCCTCTTTCTTTCTGCAGGTCCGCATGAAATGCGCCATGCGAGAGATATTCTACGAAAAAATATGAATTCTATCAGAAATTTAATTTTGAACATGAAATTTATTCCGTTTCCTCCAAGACCTCAGAGAAAGTTTAACTCTTATCACGTGCAAAGAAATTCAGAAGAATATCCGTCAAAAGACTGATATGAGGACCGTCAGCTCAACTTTATTGCACGTGCAATCTTAATATATGAAGATCTAGTTAATTTATGGAAAAAGATTGGATACTATGAAATCTGCGAGGATACAAATGACCTTGTAATACAAGGTGCATTGTTGATCCTTTTCCCACCTACACCTTCAACAGAATGGAAAAAGCCAAGTGTAAAAGAAATTAACAAGAGGCTTATTGAGTTAATTAATCTTGGCTTTCAATTAAATTACAATGTTATCGCGGATGTTTTTCAATTATTTGAGCACAGATTAAATGATATTGGTAACACATTAGTTGAATCATTTTTACATATCAAGCAAGAATCCCCAGAGACATTTCTATATCACTGTATAATTGAAACTCTAAAACCCGAGCGTACATATAAGATGGATATTTGGGACTTTATTTTTTCACTTATTCCGGACAAGGCCGAAACTAAATTCAACAAAGCATTTAACCACTATTCGAGTAACGTTGCATCAATTATCATTTTCTCAGACATCCGTATTAAGCCACTTGCTTCATCGCCTAAATTTTACGATTGGGTGCTTCGAAAATTTGGTGCTGATGCACCAATAACTGCGCAATGTTTCAATGATCTTTTAGAAACACGTGTTAGTCTCGACATTCAACTTCAAGCATCAAATTTTGAAGTTCCAATAAGAATGAATCAACGCACGTTCAAAGCAATATGTGATACTTTTAAGATTTACTGTAACGTTAAAAATTTTTTCTTACCTTCACATTTGGAAACAATCTCACGAAGTGCAAGTCATGAAATTCTTGGACCCTTATTTGAACATTATTTAGCTGACCTTATTGGTATAGAAGTAACTTATCAGTTGCCTATGGAGTCCATTGAGGACTTAGACATTATGCAAACTGAAGAATCAAATGACATGGAAATAATTGAAAATGTCTTAAATGGCGATCAAACCATTTCCCAAAATGATCAAATTTCGTCGGCTAAAAGAAAACTTGAGACTAAAGAAATTAAAGAGATCAAGGAATTGTGGAAAGAGAAATTGGAGGACATGCATTATAATTCGATTTATAACGGAAGTGGAATTACTAATCCTTTCAGAAATTGTCTTCGTATTTTTGTTGAGGAAAAGTTACCATACGCAGAAGAAAAATCAAAGAGAATTAATAATTGTCTCTCTAAGCGAAGGAAATATTCAACTAAGAAATCAGAATCTGACGAAGATTCAAAGCAATAATACTGTTATATACATGTACGTACGTATATAAATCAATGTGAACTTAATCTATTGGTCAGAGTTATCTAACATTGCATAGATGTGAGTTTACTTTGCTTAAATGCAATAATCTTCCTACTTTTCTATTATTATAAATATTTCAGTATTGAACATTTTTATTTATTACTTCGTCAATAAATGTAGATTATTGCGTAGTGTGTTAAGAGAAAAAAAAAATTTAATAAAAGAAAGAAATATTTGATAACGACAATAAGCAAAAGAATCTTTTTCATAGATCTGGATCCTCTTACCTTTATAGAATAGGCATGTGTTCTCATTTTTATTACAGGTTTCAATTTCTGGTTTAACACACTACACAATTCTTATGTGGTATATTTCCTTAACACACTACAGCTTTTATGGTTTATGAAAAATTACTTCTATTTCATTATTTGTTATGCTACATTTTTCTATTTCATTATTTTTTCTATTTTTTATATATGAATTGGCTTTGTTCTTTTTTCAAGCCTCATCTTTTTTTTTTTTTGAATAAGCCAAGTTATGATATGCTAAAATAAGAAAGATTTTTAAATTATTTAAATCATCACAACGTTCATAGGATCAAAATTGATAGAATTAAATTTGACTTTTTTTCCCGGAAGTTAACTAAATATATAATCATTTTAAATTCCAAGAGATTCTATTATTTGTTTAAGTGACTTATACTAAAATGTTATTGTAAATAAGTTTAGTAAATTGTTGAGAAAAAAATTATCTTTGAATCTAGTAGTTGACCTTCATTCAGAGTTTGGGATCTGATTAAAAGAAATCTATAATTAGTATTCTTCATATTCTTTGTGGATTTGATAAATTCTCACCTTATAAAATTCGGCTTCTGATTCCAAATAAACAGTTGGAAATTGAATCTCGCTAGGCAAGCTTATTGCAGATTTTCTCTTTGTATCATTCATATAAAAGAAAATCGTTCCCAATCCACATCGTGATTTATTTGTGATTATTGCATCCTAGACAAATATGTTATTTGCTTATACTCTCTTACTTGATCCAAAATTTTATTCTAGAATTTATTAAATGATGAATGGAATAAAATTATCAAATCTTTATACTGTATCTAATTTTGTAATAAAAATTAGGTTTTAAAAGCTTGAATTTTTTTTTTTACTAGGTATTGTATTCTATTTTTAGCTATAAAAGTATTTCAATATTTTATTAATTAATATTCTTAGGCAAAAATTAGGTGAATTTATGATTAAAGCAAGTCATTAATCATAGTCCTGTGATCCGTTTTTTCTAGACATCAATAGATTTGGGCCTTTATATGTAATATTTTTTAAAAATTAGACCCTTATATATAATTATTTTTAATTTGGGCCCGTATTTGTAATTATTTTCACTTCCCGGGCCCTTATTTGTAAATTCCTCTATAAAATAACATTTCTGACTTGGCATTATCTGATTGGTTCTTTTGCTGTGTAAGATATTTTCAATTTAGAAATTAAGTAGATTACATACCTAAACATTAAATAAATAAACAAACCCCTGCTTAATTTTTAGTTTAGATTTGTTAAAAACCATACCTAAAATATGCACGAGTCTTATTGGTTGCAACGCTTAGTTATTTAATTCATCTTTAGAATATACAACTGCAAAGTCAAAATAAATAAGAAATGTGAATGGTTTGAACTTTTTTATTGCAATAAAAGTTTAGAAAGCAAATATATTCTAATCAGGATAATTGTGGCAGCTTTACAAATCGATCTGAAACAAGTTAATAATGGTTTACATGGTTATTAACCATATTCAGCTATATTTAGGGGTAGGTTAAATGGTCAATTGACAAACAAAATAGACTGTTGATTTAAAATAGAAACCAAACATCTAGATAAAATTTTTACCTATCTTGCTAAACTTATCAATAATTATAACCAATTACTGCAAGAATATAACTGTGTCACTGTTTCGCCTTATTACAGTATTATCCAAACATTTGAATATTCACGTAAATACTTTGATTCTCGTTGCATTCATAAATTAACTAATAAATTATTCGAATAAGTCTTTTATCTTGCCAAGCGTTATTCAAATAAAAAATCAACAAGTCCATCTTATACACGATTGAATTTTGCCCAATTTGGAATATAATAAATATGCAATTAATTAAATTTAATAAGAAAGTAACCTTTAACCTTTAATTTCGTGATTCTAATTAAATTAGTATTACAATTTTATGTTTTTTACGTTGACGTATCTAATAATTAGAATCTCTTTCTTTTTCCTTTTTTTAGTGGCATAATATTTAGGTAAGGCAAATTAATGATTTTAGAATCATGTAGCAAATGCAACCAGATGACAATTATGCACGTAAGATAATCTGTTATAATTTTCTTTTTTAATAGCGCGCAGGAAAAACATTAATTAAAGGTAAACAAAGCGCATCATTGAAATTAGTGGTAACGCGTTGTTTAATTATCGAAAGCCTTCATTAGCTCTTATTGCCAATGATTATCCTGTATTATAAAAATCTTAATTGTTTTATCGCACAATTATGACAATCTAACTACTTTTGTGTGCTATTAAGTCTCTACTTTCTTTTCATCATATTCATTGTATTTCTTATCCATATTAAAGTTACTTAGAAATTAATATGTACTACATCATGACGAATTACGACATTATGTCTCAATAAAACGGTAAAAGGTTTCGTGTAACGTAAAATGATGTACTAACTTCGGTTCATGCATCTCATTTAATTAAAAAATTTTATTTGTGCCACTATTTGATAAGAAAAGAAATTTAATAATGGCATGATTCAGGTCAATATTGTTAAGACTCAAAGCTACAGTATAATTCCCACCGATACTTCTAAATTTAAATGTAATACTATACACTTCCTTGAAGTTTAATTTCAAATTTCATGAATACAAACCACTTTAGAAAAAGGTACATGAAATAAGATACAGTATATATATATATATTTGTGGCGTTCTTTATTTTATTTCGGATACTGTATTCGTTATCTGCGCATTTTATACAAAAGAAAATTTTCCAATCATTTTAATAATCAAACCGTGGAAACAAGGTTAACTTGATGTCAGATATGGGACTAATTTCTTGAGTAATTAGATTAATAGGAATACAATTTTTATAAAATTACAAAATCAAAATTTTCTCCTACTGCTCCCTTTTGTTATAGGGGTCTACATATTGAACTGATGGTAGAAATTGTTCCAAATATCACTTAAATAAAGCGCCAAAAAAGGAAAAATTAGTAATATCGATGAGTACAAGTGGAAACGAAGTTTCAGCATGCATTAGTACTATAGTAGATATATTGTGCAAAATAATCATGTATATAGTAAATAAGATCAATATCGATATGGTCTAGTTTGACATGCATAAAGGCGCATCAATAGACAATTTCAAATATCACATGCAATCATGCATTTGACAAAATATTTTCTGAAACAACCTGTAAAAGGCTAGATAAACAAATTCATTTGGTTACCGATATTTTGGTTTCGGTTTTACACAAGAAATATAAAATCGGTCCCAAGAATCTATTACGTATCACTAATACTAAAATATTAGTATTGAATCAAAAACTTAATACCAAGAATGCCAAGAGAAACTCATTCTTGGTATTGCTGGTATAACTTCAATTTGGAATGCTTTATTGTGTCACAATTGCTTGACTTAATTCTTTCAGAATTATTTGACCTCATTTTAAAAACTAGAAAATCAGAATCTGATAAAAGCCCGAAGCAAAAAATAATGCATTTATACTAAATCACGCACTGATCACGAGAACCTTCAATTCTCGATTTTAATTGGTTTTTTCTGACTAACATTGCATGAACTTTTGCTTAAATAGATGAATCCTCGCTACGCTTCGGACAATAAAAATTAGTACAACCTTTTCAATTCTTAAAATTTTCTTAGTTATTGATATTTATTTATCTACCTACTTTACTTTTAGAAACTGTTATCTAATTATCAACATTATTTTATATGTTATATAAAAAATTAATCTACAAATAACATTCTATCTTTTAAAGATTTAAATCAACTTTAGATGAACTTCATTATTGTTCGAAATTACTATATCTTGATGTAACATATGTGAGAATCATTGACAAGAGTTTTATTTAGTATTTCAAGGACTTCTTTAATGTCAGGAAGCTCCTCCGGACTGTCATCCCAGCAAAATGTATAAAGTTCAACATATCATTTTGGTGTACCATTCGCAGGTATCTCTCTTATTCCTTCAAATATAAGTATTTGAATCTCATCCGCTGATTTAAATGGAAATGGCTTTCTGCGACTTGAAATCTCTCAGAGAATAAATGCAAAACTGTGTTGCATCATTGATTTGCTTTGATACACCGAAATCTGCAATCATAATTGTTCTAGGACATTTTTGGGTGCTAAAAAGTAGTAATTGAAGAAATATTTGGGAAATGCAATTAAACATTCAATACATAATGCTTACGAGATCACGATGAACAACATCATTATCATGCAAAAATTCTAACTCCAAAGCTATTTCTTTTGCAATTCGAAACTTATCGGCCCATTTTAAACTAGAATATTGTTTTTTTTTTTAGATAATCACGCAAATTTCCATCTTCAGCAAATTGGAGTACTATTTTATAATATTCTTCTGAAGGATTTGTACAAATGAAATATCGGTATATTTAAAAAAAAAATTAGGTTTAACTATTAAAAAATATATTGTACTCTATAAAGTAGTTGCTTTTTCTTATTGTAAATCGTTATTAGATTTCATAAATGTATGTTGTCTCTAAGGATATAAGTCCACACGCTTTGCACTTGTTATAAAAAAATCGACTCATTTAATTTTTTTTTACAAACCTTTGGTAACGCCATAGAACTTAATAATATTTTGATGTTGACTAATTTTGGCAAAAGTTGAAGCTATAATTGAAATAGGGATTTAATGAGATTGGCAATATAAAAATAAAAATTTAAATTGACGAATA